GTCAAATATAGACTTAATACCACATCTTCTTTTTTATACGACCACAAAATAATTTTGCGGTCGTATATTGGTATGACGTTGGCGTCGTTGTCCGAAGACACATTGGTTTTAGCACTCTTACTTTAGTTTAAGTAAATGGATCTCCATGAAATTTTACCATAAGGTTCAATACCACAAAAGTAAGGTGGGGATTGATTTTGGGGGTTATGGTACCAACAGTTCAGGAATTAGGGGCCAAAAATAAGCATTTTTGTAACTTCCAGACATTACTTGTGTGTTAGTGTATGGATCTCTCTGACATTGTACCACAAGGTTCCATATCACAAAGGGAAGGCTGGGATTGATTTTGGGGGTAATTGCCTCAAAATTTTAGAAATTAAGGGCCAAAAAACAAGTATTTTTCTAGTTTCATGACAATAACTTGTGTGTAAGTGTATGGATCTTTCTGAAATTGTACTACAAGGTTCCATATCACAAAGAGAAAGCTAGGTTTGAGTTTGGGGATAATTTCCCTAAATGTTTAGGAATTTTGAACCAAAAAGGGGCCAAAAAACAAGCATTTTTCTAGTTTCCAGTCAATAACTTGTGTTTGAATAGGTAAATTAAAAATTTATAAGTTCTTAGACCACATTTATTCTGTGTCAGAAACCTATGCTGTGTCAAATATTTAATCACAATCCAAATTCAGTGCTGTATCAAGCTTGACTGTTGTGTCCATACTTGCCCCAACTGTTCAGGGTTCGACCTCTGCAGTCGTATCAAGCTGGGCCCAGCAGAGCATTTTATTATATTAAGTTACTGTGTTTAATTTGACTTAGATAGAAATTGAACCAAATAATGTGCACTAATAACTTCATCACTCAGGAAAGCACATTTAACCAACACAACCTTGTATAAGTTTTATCAACAGCTCTTTACATGTACATATAGGGTAAATATCTGCATGCTGGTCGCCTTGTGAACAAATCTGTAAGAGTTTGGTTTTTATCTCATTGTTGTTTTGTACAAACGTGCTTGATGTTTTCATAAAGTCATTTCGGGTCTTTGTACAGCTTGCTATAGGTTTTACTCAAAGTCAGAGGTGGAACTGTGAACTTTAATACAGAAAAATAAGTTGGTCCCTTTTGAATAGTTGTCTCATTAGAAATCATGCCACATTTTTATAAACATGTTTTTGTAGGTAGTTATGCTGCCTAATCAAAATGACCATGATATTCTGCAACTAAACTGAAAGTATTTCATTACTTAGTTTGTTGGGTTGATGTCTCATTGACTTATGACACTTTAATATCAGCAACAAACTACTAAAAAAGTACCAGCTAATTAAGGTTATGACTTAAGAGAAAATTAAACCTGCACACTTTATTCACAATAATTTAATTCCAAGCAATATTTTTCAAATATGTGGATTTGAAGGCGATGGAAGGGGACTGTTGGTTGATGTCACGGAGAAGAATCAATGTACGAAGTCCTATAAATGCACTGTCAAATGGGTTTTTGTCTTTTTTTAGCTCGTTGCACTTAACTGTTATTATTCTTGAAGTTTTATATGTTACATGTAGTACATTTTCTTGTAGTAGGTCTTTTGCAATTTTCTGAACATCAGCTTGGTATGACCGTATATGGTGGAACCCCTTCTTTCCTGTTAAATTGGTAATGTTATCAAAATTGCTTGCAAAATTAACTAGGTGAGGATACTCTTTAGAGTGTCGAAGGATACTTTCCTTTGTCTGATGTCCTGAACATGTTACTTTTGTATCCTTGTTCAACATCTCTCAAGTATTCATCTAAGCTTATATTATTGTTTGTTCCACCTTGCAGATTAACAAATCTATTAGCAATTAATCTTTCTGATTGGTCAGGTGGTAAGACACCCGAAGTTAGTCACTTAGTTCTTCTTGAATTTTTAATGCATCTTTCTTAATTTGATTGACTGTTGGACTTTTCTAAAACATTTAATACAGACGCCATTGTCATTGTCTACTTCGGCGTTAACTTCAAAACCAGTAACAACACTAGAAATTATTGCGATTCTCTCTGAGTTCTGCTGAAGTTTCAGTTTGAACAGTTTTTTTTCAACACGTTCTCCCGTTGAGGAGATTTCTATCTGGATGAAAGAAAAACCGCATAAAACACAAATGTTTGTTCATACTGATATTTTCCTTGGTGTGCATACTTCACTTGATGCCATTTTAACCTCGGAAGGCAATAATACAAACTATTATTACAGTTGTATGTTACAAAACGTTTTTCGCATGGGGGCTGCCATTTTTGTTTATATACATTCGGAAGACCTCTAGACGCTACTAAGACTCCTATGCCAGTCCAATACCCTAACACTTTGTAGCACCTTCGCTGATTGGCTAGAGCAAATTTGACCCTAGACATGACCCTCAAGCGGCTGTTGTTAGATCTCCCACGCGCGACATATAAACAACGAGGAGCAAGTGCGGAGATTTAATTTTAATTAGATTGGAAACACTTATGAACCACATCAACAAACGAAAACTACTGAACATCAGATTCCTGACTTAGGACAGGTGCAAACAAATGCAGCAGGTTTAAACGTTTTAATGGTACCAAACCTTCACCCTTTTTCTGAAACAATAGTGTAACATCATAACATAGAAAGACACACTATAAAATATCAACTGAAATAGCTTAACTCAATCAGAGGACATATTAACACCATTGAACATACACTGAACAAATAAATTTGACCTATGACACAATGTAAATACAAAATAAATAAACTAAGGGAAGAATAATAAAAGTAACATGTTATATCGGTAAGAAATGTTAAACAATTAAAGAAAAACAATATGCTCGAACAAAAATACCATCCATTTGCAATAACTTTAAACACAGGTAAATGAAAATAATTTTGTTGTTAGGTATACCTGTACAGTATACATACCAATAGAGAAAGGAAATATTTTTACAAAATAAATAATTTTGAATACAAAATAAATAAACTAAGGGAAGAATAATAAAAGTAACATGTTATATCGGTAAGAAATGTTAAACAATTAGAGAAAAACAATATGCTCGAACAAAAATACCCTCCATTTGCAATAACTTTAAACACAGGTAAATGAAAATAATTTTGTTGTCAGGTATACGTGTACAGTACCAATAGAGAAAGGAAATATTATTACAAAATAAATAATTTTGATGTTCATAGTACGAAGTGAAAATTTATAGTTATACCAAACACTTATAAAAGCTGGTATGTAGACCAGATATAACCCTGAATAACATTAAATAACAAAAAAGCATTACAATTAGTATCAACAGGTCAAATAAACAAGAAAGTACGATTTGAGAGTACTCGCAGTTACAGACAGCTAGTTAAAAGCCAAAACAATTAATAAAAAAAATCATGCATCAGAGACTAAAATCAACTAAAACACATCCCAGGGATTTAGTATTTTAACGTCATGAACAGTCAAAGAAAACATGACTAGTGCAATGCAAAAAATAAATGTATCGACAGACAGTAGGATAGTTAGGAGTTTAACCTCTTTATAGATCTAAAAAAACGTGGGTGTGTCTTTAAGGAATGTATGGGGACTCCTCAGGTCTGGCATATCCACAACCCTATCTTGTATCCCAGGCCATTCTTATATAGCTGGGAATGAGATAATAGAAGCACATTCAGGATGTCAATGAAAAATGAAATGGCAAAGTAAATGGACCATAAGTGAAACTTGTAGACAACTTATTAGCTAGCACCCAGAAATGTACCGTTTGGAAAGTTGTCCAATTTGAAGATTTTAATCCTGAAACAGTAAGAATTCTATCAGAAATAAGAACAGGCTTTAACATTCTAAATAAGAACCGCCATCAAATAGGTCAATCCCTAATGCCATATTGTGAATGTGGTGCAGAAGAAAATGCAGAACACTTCTTACACTGTACAAGATACCAATAAGAAAGAACAGAAATAATGAGACATTAGACACATGGAACATCCCAACAGATATGAGAACACTACCATGACTACTGGCACCAACAACAAAAGAGACCTACCAAAGAACAGCACGTATTATAGAATATTTAGAAAGTACAGGAGGATTTGGAGATCTAGCTAGCCCTGAAACCTGATCCTGCGCCTAAAAAAGAATCCAAAGTACTGTGAGTTATAACTAAGAGAAATAGAGCACCAGATTAAGATGAAATTAACAGTATCATGAGACAAGATGACATTGTGTCAATGTTTTGACCTTCGGATCAGGATCAGAGACTTTTCCTTCACTTAAATCTGACATGTTATTCCACTACTCTAATTAAAAATAAATTTAAAACATGTGTCATCCTACACTGTTTCTTGAAAAGTTTTAAAAACGAGTAACCTCTACCTGTATACGTTTAGATCGTGCTAAAGTAAAAAGAGTAACCCAGTTTATATCATCAATACACCTAATCGCTATTTATTCCATTCCGGATAAGTTCTAAAATTACACAACTTTTTCATCCAGTTGAAGCTATCTGGGACCCTGTTTAAACAATGTACCATGCATGATACTTTTTAATGAGACATGTTTAAATCATCGTAAATACTTCAAACAAAATATTTTTTTTACTATAATTTGAGTTTCGAAAAAGTGGATCATAATCTATCAAAGTTTCCTATTGATCGCTTTAAGTTTCAAAATTTTTCCCTCCCTCAGCGTGTTACCTGATGACCTTTTTTTTTGCCTGTTGACCCAAACAGGAAGTTGTCTAAATGACTGTTTTTTTCAGGATTGGACTAAATAGCGATAAGGTGTATACCATGTACTTGTACAGAGCTGTACGTAATAGTATTCTATCTTTATTACAATGTGCCAATTTAAATGTGACGAATTAACTATCAAATTTTAAATATTGAAAAATAATCCTTATTTTAAAGAAATTATTTCCTTTTTGGTGGGGATAATTTTGCCCATCCTGTTTCACACTGTCATGTTTATATTTGAGAGTGGTATACACTTTTAAAAGATACGCCAACCGCTTACCTTGATGGAGACCATATTAATACAGGTGATTTTAATGCTACGGATGTTGCAACTACAGCAATGAAACATAATTTGCAAAACATCTTTTCTGAGGCTGTCTTCCAAAAAAAAAATCAATGTCAGGTGATTGATATTCGGAACTTCTCTAAATTACACAAAAAATATTTATCGGATACGGATCCGACTTACTCTTGCGGAATTTGAAACAAGTTCGGTTGCTTTCTTAAATAAAAGAAAAGCAATACATGAACCTAACACCGTTGACTGATAACATGATAAAAGATTGTTGCAGAGTTTTTGTTTGCTTTTTAATTGAAAGAATAGTGTGTACATTCTTGCACAAGTCAGTTGAAAGCAATGTTGAATAGTTGTGAATAATGTATAATTTTATACAGCTAATATTTGAATATACATTTTAAAGCTCGACTATTTCATTTATTACTTGGGATTGTACATCATTTTTCCATAATCCTATTGCAAATCCCAGTTTCTATAAACCGGATGTAAAATGAAAATTGCACAAATCAATCGCAATATAAATTTAAGCACTCAGTTTTCTTTATAATCTGGATGCCTTCATATTCTCAACTCGTTATTGAAGTTGTCTGTACTCATGAATGGTAGATGTTGTAAAGATAAATTTAAAGTCCATTTTTCATGCGAAGTGAAACCCTGTGGCATGCAACTTATAAGAAGGTTTCGTATATTTTTCTTGAGAGTAGCACACCAGCTTCATTAGGACCTCTCATATAGGGACTTATTTTAGCCTCATAAAACATCTCAAATTTTAAGGATTTCCTGATTTTACTTAAATCAATCCAAATATTGTAGAGGGAAACTTGGTTTTGAGGAATATCTTATTTTCAGAAGTGTTATGAATACCTGAACATACTCTCAAAAGGAACCAATTTATATGAAAAGACATGTAGATATAAAAATATACCAGGATTAACATGTTGTACGCCAGACGCGAGTTAAGTCTACAAAGAATCATGATCAATCATCAGTGACGCTCAAATAAAAATAGTTAAAAAGTCCAAATACATTACGAAGTTAATTAAGTAATCTATTCCTTGGGTAAAAAATCCTTGGCATTTCGAAAATGTCAAAGTTTTTAAAAGGATAGTGACTCAAAAAAGAAAACAAAAGAGAAACAGCTAGAGATCAATGATACCGTAAGCAATGATGACCGTGCTTAAAAGTCACATGTCAAGCTCTTCAGCTGCCGTGTCCTGAATTTATATAAGAAAAGCAAAAATTCGCATTCGTGAGTGAAATTAATATTTATACATGAACGTGGTATTTTTGCGCAAGAAATATAAAAGCATACGCACTGATACTCTCGATAAGAATATGCATTTGCGTCATCACATATATTAATCTAATAGTTGAATTGGGACATTTTATCCGGAATTTTTGTGAACACAAACCGATAGTGTGCGTGTGAACAGGGTGGTGTATAATGTAAACGAATCAAGACTTGTAGGATAGCTGGTCAACACAATGATCATTAATTGATCGAATACAATTTTCAAAACCGTACCATAGTACAAATATTTAGATGCTATAAGGTTGAACTAATAAAACATATACATTCCTGTTAGTGAACTTTTTTCCGAAAATAACTTGAATATGATATCAATAAACACAAATCAGAGGCGGATTTAGGGGGGAGGCCCAGGGGGCCCGCCCCCCCCCCCCTTTTGTGGGAAAAATTTGGTTGATTATATAGGGAATCACTGAAGCATGACTGGAGCGGGCCCCCCTCTTAGGCAGTCAGTGGGTCCCCACTTATGAAAATTTCTGGATCCGCCACTGCAAATGTCAAGTATTTACGGATGAACATTTTATTTATCAATCGAATCTCTCTTTTAAGTCTAACATTCCACTATAAGAATATATTGCAGAGACTTACTAAAACAGTATGAAATAATTGGCATTATGATAGTAATTTTAAAATTTTGTTATGATTATTGTAAAATATTAATCACGTTTTTTTTGTGAGATGCAAGGATTTAAAATCCTTGTGAATTGAAACCACGCAAGTATTTTTTCTCATTCACGACCGTTTGCAATTTAGATGTTTAGCTATCTTTGCAGGTACGCATCCCTGCTCATTGGTGCTCATACGTTACATATGTAATGACTGATGAAACCTGTGAGACATAATGCACGTATACGTTACAATTTTAATTATATTCTATAATTATAAGGAATAAATTCAGTCTCAGTTATAAAATAACAAGGAATATTCTCTTAGTCTGGTAATATCTATTAATGAAATTATTTATTTTATTTTACAGAAAAAAAACTTTTGTTTAAGTTGATTATCTTTCTAGATAAATACTTTTAACAGAAATATCGTTTTCTTAATTTTCTTCACGCTTTCCGACATTTTCTCGTGCTATGATAATGATAATCGTTCAGAAATAATCAGTTTATTCTGGGTCATTGTATATCAATAAACTGTTCACATGTTTATTAAATACTACACACACAACGCGTAGAGGGACAATCTCAAAGCATGAAATATATAATTGCGTAATCATTATACACATTCACATTACTAAAAACATACATATATTTGTCAAAAGGCAAATAGGTTGATTCTAGAATGCAACCTAGTATTTATTATTTTACTTTCAAATCTACAAATGAACTTTGCCAGATTGTTGAAATATACAATGTCACGTGGTAACCTGTTCACAGAGGGACCGTATCAAAGACATAAATTATAACTACCTGTAATTTTTAATTGATAGACTGTTGTATCAAACACCGCCAAATCCTTAACGTGGCTGTCCCAAGACAGGTTGTCATAAATATAGGCATAGACATAGAAAATTTTATTTTGATTCAGCATAGTATATAAATATAATCCAGAGAATTCTCTGATACCTATTTCTTTAACATGCATAAGTTTCAAAATTATGGAACATGATGTAGTAATCAGAGGCGGATTTAGCCCCCCCCCCCCCCCCCCCCCCCCTTTTGGGGAAAAATTTGGTTGATTATTAAGGGAATCACTGAAGAATGACTGGAGCGGGCCCCCTCTTAGGCAGTCAGTGGGCCCCCACTTATGAAAATTTCTGGATCCGCCACTGAATGTACTTAGCGCAATCATGACACACGCAGAGAACCATAACATCCTGTATCCCCTTCGACACAGTTTTCGAAAAAATAGATCTTGTGAAACTCAGCTCCTGTGATTTATAGATGATGTCACTAAAAATATTGAAAATTCAAAACAAACACTTTGTCAGATTAGTTATAATGAAGTTTTCTAAAGCTTTCGATAAAGCCAGTCATATATTTACTAACACCCAAACTAAATCACTTTGGGATGGATACATGGTAAAACAAATGCATGGATACAGTGCTTCTTATCATGTCATACCCAAGCATTCATCCTAGAGGGCAGATTTTAGGCTATGCCCCTGTGATGCCAGGTGAGTTTAAGGATCTATTGTGGGTCCAAGTCTGTGTTTTTTTACATCAATTACATACCAGTTGTCTTGAATCCCACCATACGCCTATTTTCAGATATGACACCATGCATATCTGGTAATAAAATCTAACAGTAATTGTGAAACCCTTCAAAAAGATCTTGCTGTACTAGGTATATTTGGGAACACACACGGAAGATGGCTTTTCACCCTGACAAGTGTTATGTTCTGTTCACCGGCCGATATAAATATCCTTTCGTATACAATTACACTTTTACATGGCCACATACTTGAACATGTTGACTAAGTATAATTCCTAGGCGTGACAATTCATCAGACCTAAAATGGCACAGTCACATACACAACATTTGTAATAAGGCTAACAACAAACTTGGTTTTCTCCAAAGGAATCTTAACATCAGTTCCACCTAAGTAAAGGAACAGGCATATAAATCTTTAGTCTGGCCATCAGTGGAATATGCTTGTTCAGTCCGTGGCCTCTTACTTTACCAAGGATATAAACAAACCAGAAAAAGTACAAAGAAGGACTGCTAGATTTGTCACTAACCGACACAGAAACATCTCAAGTGTTAGTGACATGATAAATCACCTAAAATGGAGAGACCTTGCATACAGAAGAACAGATGCACGCCTTGTCATGTTTTATAAAATTTCACATCAACTACTAGTAATTGCCATCACAAAACAAAGACTAATACAACCGCTCAGACAGTCCCGAAGCATGCACGCACTCTCATACCAAATTCCATCATGCAGAACACAAATACGCCAACAATCATTTTTTCCACAAATTATCAAAACCTGGAACAGCCTTCCTCTGCATGTGCATTGTGATGAGAGACTCTGTAGAGGTGTTCAAAATAGCTGTTTAAGTTACACCTACAGAAAATTCTTCATGCGTAAATAGTTTTATCTTAATATAAAAAAACAAAATAAAAATGTGCTACGTAAAAATGTTAGAATTACTTTTGTTAATAATTTTCAAATTATAAAGTTTTACTGTATATACGTTTCCACTAAGCCATGCGTAGTACAAGTGACATAAACTTTGACTTGTTGAAGGCGGTCACTACAAAGTATAAGTAGAAGAAGTATAATTCACGAACAAATTCAACAAACTCTGAGCATCTGACGCAATCAGAACAATTGTCATGTCATTATGACGTCATAATTTTGCATTCTAATGAAGAAAATCATATTTTTTACAATATTTTTTTACTAAATTTTGTTTGTTTTTGCTTCAAACGACATTGGCCACATGCAAGGACCACCATAATTTTTTGTTAGGATGTGTATCCGACACATTTACCAATATCAGAGACATATAATGTCTCTGCCAATATATATCTTTGTATAACATTTTTTTTATGGTCGAAGGGTGTTGCCAATGTTTTTAACAGAAGTTAAGAAATAGACCTTTTAAAAATATTAAAAAAAACATGCAATTTGGCTAAAAAAGTTGTTAAATTAATATCATACTTTTGAAGATGTAAACATCGTTAAAACGAACAGCAGACACAGGGGCGGATCCAGCCATTTATATAAGGGGGTTCCTAACGCAGGATAAAGGGGGGTTCCAACTATATGTCCCCATTCAAATGCATTGATCGTCAAAAAAAGATCCCCCCCCCCATTGGATCCGCCACTGAGACAACAAAAGTGTCTAGTTTATCTAAATA